GGTTTTTCTTTGAATACCATCAGGACAGTAGCAGCCATCCAGACAATGCAGATTGGTTCCCAGGCACTCTTTCTCAAATGTACAGGTAGGTGGACAGCAGCTGATACAGTCTCTATACACAAAACTTTCCTCACAGCCGTCATCTAAGCATAAACACAAACAACTGGCTTAACAATAAAAGTAGAACACAAGTGTGCACTAAATACATTATAAGTTTTCATGTTTCCGCTGAAATCGTAGAGCAGCAGCCGTTACTTACTGCAAGAAGGGAAGCTGTCTCTCCACTCTCTTACGGGATATCCAACATGGGAGCATGCTCGGGTGTACTCCACCAAGGCTCGACAAAAAGTTTCCTCATCATCAGAGCTGAAAACATGCATCAAATGTTTTCGGGGGACTGCTTTGTATACAAAAAGTTTCAACTCAAGCAAAAGGTTGAATGTATCTACTTGAAAGTGTGCTTGCTTTTACTTACACACAAAGGTCAGAGACACAACTGGCAACAAAGGGATTGGGATCGATGTTTTCATGACAGGACAAAAAGGGGAAAAAGAGAAGCGCACTGCATTTCTCTATAGCATCCTGCATACAAATAAAGTATGGTATGAATATATGCAACATAATATACCACCAGAAGTAAACAAAAATTAACACTGCTAAAAAAGGTTTTATTATGGTGCACTTTGGTGGGCCTGATTTGTCTTTGCACATGTTATTAAGTGGAAATATTGCTTCTGTGGTTCTTACATCCATGTCTGACTCAGACTGGCAGGGCCCACTAAAGTCAAGATCCACTGAGGGACAGGCTCGTTCATGAGCAAGGTCCACTGCCCAGCTATTAGCAAACAGTGCAGGTTCATCAGTCCGAATACCTAAAGTAAACACATATGTGCAGCTGTATGTGGTATACCCAGCATGACGTAGGTACAGACAAAAGATAAAAATGTATAAAAACACATACACAGAGCAAAGATGGAGTAGATTTTCCATTCAAACATACATTAAATTATTTCTTTAATTCATTAAACACAATAACATGAGACATAAAAAAAGAGGGCTGACTATAAGAGGCACTAAGAGGAAATATGTATGTGTAGAAATGCGCTGCAGTTGGTTCCTTTTTGTCTGTTGTCTTTCCTTGGGCTCATCTCCACATTACTGGTCATCTCTCCTCCCAAACAAGCGGGGCACCGTAGTTCATGTTACTAGGTCATATGAGGAAAGTCCATGCTTCTTCCAGCTATTCAAATCAAAACTACCAGTTCTCCCCTGTCCTTCCACTGTAGACTCCCCAGGTCCCACTGCTACTATAATTGGCCAGAATCAGTGTTGAGTGTATAATAACAATAATTATGATGAGTGGGTGCTGAGAGAAGGGATAAGAGGATGAGTGGCCAGTCAGGCCGGTCTTACCGCGAGCAGTGGTGAGGTCATCACCAGCAACATTGTTGAAGTTTCCACACAGGCCACAAGGGGCGCCTTGGTGCTCCTCGCTCATCTTCAGGTAGACGCCCGAGCCTCCATCCCAGGCCAAAGAGAAGCCGAACACGCTCTTCACGAGCAGGTAATCAGCCAGTCGTTCAATAAAGACACCGCCCACAGTCTGAGGCAAACTTAACCTGACATTATACAGAGACAGAGACATCATGAGAGCATTGGATGACGTCAGGTCTTTGAAAATCTTACTTATAGTCTTCTATCGATTTTACAGTAGGTTTAGATGGGACGGCGAGCAAATGCTTTCTTTCTTTCTTCCTTTTTAGTTTTTATTTTGACACCTCTGCAGTTAACAAACACACACATACATGCACACACTCATATGCACCTGCGACCTCCCTGGTGGACCCGATATCCCGAGATGTGGATCTCTTCCTCGTTTGGGAAGAACAGACTGAGAGCTCTCGGACATAAATACACACTCCCCTCACACACTCTGCTGTTGTGAACCTGACAAACACAAGAAAATGACAGAAGTGGAATAAGAGCCACAGAGGGAAAAGCATACCGATTTATGAACAAGTGCTCATTAAAGCTACAACTCAAATTTTGCAGACTATCATTATCTAATAATACATGGCTGCAAGGATAAAAAAAATAATTAGAATGACTTTGGCACCTTTTTTGAAAAGGTTAATCATAATTAAAAACATTTTTTTGTCCTTACTAAGACAATTTTTTTGTTGAGTTTTTAGAAAACAATGGTACAAAGAAATATGCCACATCGGTGTTGTGCTGACAGCAGATAGTTGTTAATAATATATGCTAAACACAGACACTTTAAGACCTTGCCACATGACTGTTTTATAGCCTTTACAGATCTCCTATTTCCTGTTATTTTATTCAGTGCAAGCAGTCAGATGCCACTGCAGTTTAGTTTATTTAAGAAACTTCCGTATTGCTTTGTTTTAACAGCAAACATGGCAGTGTAGCAAGAAGCTAATGTATAGACATAGAGTAAAGACTGATTACTAGCCTTACCCACACTGTGTACTGCGGTGTAGTTGAGTGACAATCCTGGGCCAAAATGTAAGAGCAGGTTCCAGGGAAGTAGAAATATATTCCATCAAATGTTTCATAGTGGTGCTGACCCCATGACCTGCAGATCCCATCTCTATCCTGGCCCTGGTTAGGTACTGAGAGGAAAAATGGGCACTTCAGTCAGACAAGATTCTTGTAATGATAGTGACACAAATGAACTGACCTATCATCGTTATGCCTTTCATCATGTTCTATTTCATTGCACTTATCAGAGGAAAATGAACTCCTGAATTTTCTAAAAGCTCTTTGTTAGAGGAAATCCCCATAGCAGGATATGCCAAGATGCTGCCGAGGGCCATTCCCAAAAATCTGAGGAGGTGGGTTGCGCTGACAGCAAACACATCTTCTGATTTTAATACTCTGACATGAATGGCTCATTTTACATATCTTCAATTTCAGACATTAATGCTTAAAAAATATAATTTTCAAATTTTATTCAGTACTTTTTGAAGAATAGCTCAGTTGCCTCAATTATTATAATCTGTTACGGTGGGAAAGCTTGATATTTTTCTTGGGTGAAGCTTTTATTACCTTCATGACAAACCTGCACTCATGACATTCATTCTTTCATATTTTCTTTCTGTAGTGGTGTTTTATTTTTAAAATTCATATTTTTTATCTTGTCAGTGCCATTTCAGGGTTTCTCCTCAAGTCTCAGCTGAGTCACAGGTGGTCTCTAAAGAACTGCATTGCCTTCGACCATTTGTCAACACTAAATTAGTTTTTATTGAAATGAAAAATGTCTTTACAATCCCTGTGACCTCAGATCTCCTGATATGCTGTATAAGGAGCCTGTTCACAATATAGAAACCAGAAACTCCATCACTCAGCCCTTACCCTATTACCTAAGTTCAAGTGACTTTATATCAGCTCCTCTAGGGAGTAAAGTCTTTGTGTGCGTGTGTGTGTATGGGTGGGTGGTTTTAGTAGAGATGGAGGTTGGTGGATTTGTATCAACAAAGGAGAGACAGAGAGAAAGAGATCTGGGAAAATCTGATAATTAATGCTGGAGTGTGTACAGCTAATTAACATTTGTTGAATGATTGTGGAGCACATTCACAAATTCTTGAAGACTGACTACGTTATGTTATTAAAAAAGGATATTGTTACCAAAGATGCTAGCCAGCTGGTTTATTGCATACCAAAAATGTGTGGTTATAAGACAAATCTGAAGGAAGACATGTAGATGGGTGGATTACTCACTGATCTGGCAGCGGTCTCCCAATGCCTGGAACTGGGCACAGTCACACACCCCACCTTCCTGACACCAGCCGCCATTGAGGCAGCCGCAGTATTCTGGGAAAGACAAAATCAAGGGTAATCATTCCAGCCTGCCCAGGTAAAGAGTGTTAAGTTTCCGTGAATGCCTTTGGAATCACTTCACAGGCGGAGTATTTACCTGAAGAGGAATCTCTGGCTGTGTAGTTGTGCAAAATACTGCGTGACAGAGTACCCTCTGACAGCAATGGTCTGTACGTCTTGGAAAAGAGTAAACAACAGACGCTAAGAGTAGTTCCTAAAACAACTCTTAAACTTTAACAACATCGCTGACACTGACGTTTCTGTACCACTGCTCTAACTGGTCCTGTAAGATAACAGTTGCGTCAAGTTGAGTGGGAGAAAGTGTACAAGTTAGTGAGTGTGTCTCATTCTCTACAAAGACAGCTTTGTGCCGGTTAGGGTGTTGTGCGCATGTGGGTGCCCTGACCTCCTCTGGTTCTCTTAGGTGTAGTGTACAAACCTCCTCCCCGAGGAGATCCCGTTTCCTCCGGAGTGCATTAGCTCTTCTGCACACACACACAAACATGCACATTAGTGGGAAGAAGCAGTCAGAGGGGAGACTTAAGTGCACTTTACACCACTTGAATTTAGACTTGAAACCTCTCTGTACTGAACTCTCACACGCACATGTGCAGGCACACACAGACACACACTCTCATACACTGTCTCTGTCATATACACCATACAGGAAGTGTAAATGCATTTGTCATGTTCACCCGAGAGCAATATATAGTATAAGAATGACATATGAAAAAAATGACTTTTCCTTTGTATAATCTAATGTATTAATACTGTATTAATATTATTAGTAGACAGCAACAGGTTTAGTATTCTTTCTTTTATTTACCTCTGTGGTCTTCCTTCTGCCACTGAAAGTCGACTCTGAACTCCTAAATGCAAAGTTATAAAATCAGCATTAAGGTTTCTGCCTTACTCATCTCAGTCAAAGGTATCTTATAGGTGTAACATCAAAATACATCTCAAAGTGTACATCGTGTTAAGCAGACAGTTGTAAAATTGTATTACCATCTGTGAGTGCTAATACTGATAAAAGAAAGGAGAGATGAGTCGAAAATAACTTGTAAGACCTCAAGGATTTTGTGGCTTATTTAAGTAAATACTGTCTCATACAATAACATTAACATCTACAGAAGTCTGGATGTGTCTGACTTACCCTCAAGTAACAGCAAGTGGGAGACTGAAAACGACATAAGAAGAAATCGTTTCACTGTCCACTTTAAGTTCATCTCAGAGTCCGAAAGGAAGTCTCGCCGAAACGTTAACGGTGCATCTCAACTGTCCCGAGAGGAAAGAGTTCAGGGTGTTTGTTGAACCGGTACGATGCCTAGTTGTACCTCTAAAACGTACCTGGTGGAGACAGCCCTCCCTGACCAGCTGACGAGTAGCCTACACCTGTTGCGCAGGTAAGCCTGTTGCTTTGCTCTCTATCACTGCATCTTCAACCAGCAGGCTGACGTTGGCTTGACCGCTTGCCTCCGTGTGAGCCTACAAATCTTCCCCTCCATAACAGAGGTTTTCACCTGAATGTACCGTAAAATCACTTGTGGGGTGGGACCCTTGACAGAGACACAAACAGAGAAACAAGCAGGGGGGAAATGAACTAGAGAGCTTCGAATTAAGACTCCAGTTCACAAAAGTTGGTTATATAGACATTATTAGTCAAAACAAACCATAAAAACAACAAACATATATTTAAAAAGAAAACAACAGGAGTAAAAGCCCTTCTGGAAGACAGCCCTGAAGTAAACTTAGTCCATTAGCTAACAGAAAAGTAGGTTAGCTAGCTAAAAAGGAATACGAACACTGATGCTAAGATGTGTGAAAATGATTAAAGCTACTATATGTAAAGGTAGCAAAGCAAAAATAAATAAATAAATCAAATAAAAAAATAATAGTAAAAAAATAATAATAAAATGAATACATAAATACAAAAAATAAAATAAAAAATTATTTTGTTTCTTGCATGTTTAAGATATTTGAACTAATTTCAATTAGACAAATTAGACAAAGATAACCTAATTAAATGCTAAATGCAGTTTTTAAAAATTATAATTTTATTTATTAACAGGCATAAATTGCCCCTTAAACCTAACAACTGGTTGTGCCACCCTTGGCAGCAAGGATTTCAATCAGGTGTTTGCAGTAACTGGCAATTAGTCTTTCTTATCACTTTGAGAAGTGTTGTTCCACTCTTCTTTGAGGAATTGTTTTAATTCAGCCACACTAGAAGATTTACTGGTGTATATTACTGCACTGCTTACTGGACTATTAGCGCAAGAATCACTTTCTCTTGCTACACATAACAAAGAATCTGTGCTTTCACGTTAACTTTATTTCAACCTACACTTAACACAGACAAAGCTATGTTATTGCACAGCACTTGCCACCACACTTCGCCAGTGTCATCTGGTGTCAGCTGTGATATTTTTACTACATTTAGTAAGTATGCATATTTTTGGACTGTGGAAGGAAGCTATAAAGACCCAGATGCAGCCAGAGCAGAACATGTTAACTCCCCAAAAAGTCCCAGCCTGCCTTGCTGTGGGGTGACAGTCATAATCTCTGCGCCATTGTTCCATTCTCAACATGGACCTGTGAATCATTCAAGAAAAAAAAAAATTAAGTCATTAACATGGGGTGGACCATTGTTGTTTGTACACATAGCAGACAACCAAGCAAATAACCTATTTTAAATTCTATCTTTCAGCACTTTGTTGCTTGCTGCCTGTAAAGAAACATATCATGTCACCATTACATAGTTGACTCCATGAAAAATGCCAAAGGTAGGCCTGTACATGATTTTAAGTTCTGATCAAAATGCCTCTACAGCGACATCTGCAGTTTACAGAGTTAGTGTGAGGACAAAAAGGAGGACATCACAAGTCTCAGCACCTCCAGATGGGATCTCTCACAATAATTTAATACACTTCAGCTTTTTTCATGCTGATGCTTGTTGTAGCAGCCCCAAAGGATTGTTAAATGAGGAGAGAAAGGATTTAGAAGGAGGGGATTCAGCAGTGATGGAGCCCTGCTGGGGACAGGATAGAAAGTTTTGCTTTGCTGGCACACTTACAGGTCTCTCTCCACACCACTAGCACTGGATGGACTGCTTCATAAGCTATAGCCTTACAGAATCCAAACAAAACTTGCTCTTAATGCACTGGCTGTAAAATCACTCATTATAGCTATGAAATCACCAAACATTAGTGTAAATCTCCCACAGGGAACATAACTGATAACACACTAAATGTTTTATTAATTTCAGGTAACATCTTCAGGGTTTTGCACATGGTAAAACTTAATTATCCAGTTAGTTCTGCATAGACAAGATAAGTCAGGGTCTCCTCAGGCAGCTGAGATGTTGAACTCAGAGTTTTACACTTGAATCTTTTGTTATACAGAGGCTGTCTTATCAAAGCGATCTGAAATTTTTTTTTATTATTACTTTTAAAGTCAGATCCCTAAAAACTGAAACCAAAAATAGATTTGTTGTGAGGTTGTCCTGAGCTTTCCCTCCTAAAGCCAGTAACTGCAGTAGCGATTATGGTATTATTATTGTTCACATGCCTGTTTACTATAATGGATGTAACCTCTCTAAACACAGCAAAATGCAGCATGGCAATGAATTCATTATTTGAGAAAAAATATTATTTTTCTGTGGGGATTTAGGCTTTGTAGTATACACAGAGGCCTTTCCCTCCCTGTTTATTAAAGGGCCAGTTTATTAAAATAATTAAAGCCGCATATAATAGGACAGCTATTATCTACACTTATAATAATGCACTCTTGTTGTTCCTCAATGAAAATGAACTTCCTCCATAGTTTTTCATGGAATTCCTATTTGTCTGTCTATGTATACATGAGGACAAAACACTACAGAGCTCACTATGTGCACATTATTACTTTACACTATATCGTGCTGCCATCTGCACTTCACAGATATATTTTTTAATCAAAGAAAAAAAAATGTGTGTACACCTATATCCCCAAAATGAGAAAGGATGGGTCATGGTTTAATGCAATTTTATGCACAATTAGGATTAACAAATACTGTCTCCCATCGGTTAAAATTTAGAAATAAAGACTTGTCATTAACCTCCTAGGACCTGGCGTCCACATATGTGGACATCACATTTTGGGTTATTTAGACTGAAATACTCAATTTCGCTCTACAACGGCCTGATATCCACTCACGAGGACATTATACTCCTACTGTTCTATTGAAATTTTAAACAAATATCATATGTGGCTCTCATTTTTCTTAGAAACAAAAATTAGGTTAAAAAAAAATCTGGTAATTCTTTATTTTTACATTCATCAGGTCCCAATATGCCCAAATATCAAAGAGAAATTAAAAATGCATGCCGAGGAAGAGTTCGGGTCTTAGGAGGTTAAAGAGTGAAGTGGTTTTTTTTGTGTTATTTTGCAGAAATTGCCACTTCGTGGCTTATGCAATTATGAGCTTAAAACCATTTATTTGCTTCAGTTTCTTTTAGCATTCTGTATGGCTATACAAAGTCTGTGTTCATGACTAGTCCCTGTTAGAAATGCCCATGGTTTACTTTTGTGGCAAAACAAGAAAGGCAAATGTGACAAATTCCTATTTTCAAATTCTGTCAAGACAGGATGTTGAGATTTGGGCCTGTTCCCACTCTCCACTTTGGCTAGAGCAAAGGAACAAGTCTGTAAGTGCCGCCTAGAAATTATCTTGGCTTCTCTTTCTTGGCTCCTCAGTCACAGTTCACTATATTAACCTTTAATGATATTATTTTTCTTGTAAATTGTTACAGTGGAATACAATAGAAATTTAACGTACCTAAATGAATTTCAAAAGAATGAATCAGGCACTTAATAGCAGTCATACAAGTGCCTATTTTCAGCCCTTTGGCTTGTCTATTGCGCAAGTGTAATTTGCTTGGTGGACATCATAGAACAGATGACACTTACAAGTAAAAAAATGTAATTTGCTTTAATAACACTGTACATAGTGATGCATCTTTGATAAGGCAGAAGCAGGAGGAGGGAATGAAAAGCTTGCAGTCTCTTTTAAAGACTTGGATATTGTCATGGCTAAGGCAAGTTATCATTGAGTAGAATTAGTCAGTTAAGCTGTTTAACATTCTAAAGGAACAAAAATTAGAAGTATTTGAGGTAAATGCTGAGTTTTATATCCCACCAGGCTTTCATTTCTTGTTGGAAATTAGTGCATTGACTTCATCTTCTGGTTGAAGGCTATGCCACTGGGCTATTGGCCGCCGGGGGTTGGCCAGCATGTCTGACCAATGGCGTTGCTCAGTTCCAGTGCTGTTCCCGCCCAGCAACACCTTCCCAATAGCGTCATTCTTGCCAATCTTGTCATAGTCGAGCACAGTCACTGCTACCTGCACCTTCTACAAATGAAAATACAGATGCACAAATATCAGTGCTGATTATTGTATTTGTGTGCTTGTATTTGCAATTAAAAATGTGTACCTCTATCTGTTCACAAGGTACTTCAAAGCTGAAGGATTCATTGTAGTAAGGGTTCAACGTGTTTTTCTTAATTGTTGTTTTCTTTTTCTTGAGTCTTTTCCCATTCTGCATTAAGTGGATCTTCACATAAGGGTCTGGAAATGAGAACAGGGAGTTTTTATGTCACAGAGCAGACCAACGACCTGGCATGGATGCAGTAACTCCATCAATATCAATTGTCCTCTTTTTGAAAGTGGGCACAGTACTAAAAAGGCATTTAGAAGACCAAAACTGAGCCAGCACTACCAAATCTGGAGTTTGAAGAGAGCACCTGGTGAAATCATCAATTACACAGAGAGACATATGTTTAGATGTTTCGATTTTGTATTAATTGGTTTGCACTGAATCATGAAAATTATCAGTACTAAAAAAAAGGTCAAAAAGATTATTGCCAAAGGCTTTAAATCTGAGATGATTTCAAAGTTTTTGCTGCTTAACTCACCTGATAATCCACCCACATCCATTTTCTTCAGATTTTTGGCCTCCAAAATCACCACTGTCAGCTTCCCTGCTGTGGGGACATACCTCAAGGACAAACATATGTCTCCAAGCCGTTCACTCTAATACACACAAGAAGTAGTGAAAAAGAAGAGTATCACATTCGATGAATGTTTAATAAATTTTCATGCATAAATTATTAATTAGTAAAAGAAGCTGGAGTTCCTAAGACTGAAATGCTTTGTGTAGTATTTAAAAAGCTAAACGCATTCATCTTCTGTGATCCTCCCTTCTTCACCCTCCCCCTGTCATAATATTCTCCTACCTCCTCCTTCTCTGCCTTCTGCAGGTCCCTCCACTCTTGCAGAGACTGGCTGAAGTCCACACTGCTCATGGGTATCTTCACAGCTCCAATAGCATCATGTTTTGAGAAACGGTCAAAGTCATACACAGTCATCACAAGGCTCTTCCCGCCCAGCTCAGTGTATGGTACCTGCAGAGCAGAGAACATGATTAAGGGCAGTCATTTTGCACATATATTAACAGAGTTGCTAGTCAGGGGAAATGACCTTTATTTATGTTGGTGTATTACAATTTACCTTAAATGTGAAAGTCTCATTGAAGTTCGGTTCCAAGGTCTTTCTATGAACTTTGGTTTCAAACTTTTTCTTTTTGTCTGGTAGCAGATAGAGTTTAACGTAAGGGTCAGAACTTCCTCCCACGTCCATCGCAGGTAGCTCTGCAGCCTGCAAGATGCCTACCACCAGCTGGAACATGATAACAGGGGAATGTAAGAGGGAGAAAAGAGACTCTGGCTAATTGACAGGGAGAAGAAAAGTATTCAAATGTGACATTTTGAGAGCTGGCAGATGGTGGGCAAAACGCATCATAGTGAATAGCTGGGACTCACCGTATTATCTGTGAAATTGTAGTCTAATGTGAAATGTAGTCTGCCCAGCTTCTCGTCTTCCTTGGGCTCGTTATCTGACAGCTCTGTTTCTTTGTCACATTCATCTTTCAGGGACTGCATGCAGACAGACATGCATCACATCAGGTAATCTGTGCTACAACTTGTGAGGACGTTCCTTCTGTATGTTGTGTACCCTCACACAGCCAGACACAGAAATAGATGATACATGAGCAATGTGTGACACACAGCTTTGATTAAAGTCCAGAACAAGTTATCTCACACCATAGTTCAACTCTTATTACAACATGAAGGAGTACAAAAACATCCATATGTCTGAACACACACTGACAGTTTTAGTAGTCCTGGATGACCCGGATGTCAGGACTGTGATACATTGCAAGGACAATGCGTCTGCAGGCGGGAGCGGGGGGGGACACAGACTGTGTGTTTTTACAGCTTACCTCATTGTAACCTCCATCCATTTCAGTGTCAAAACCTCCCTTACTCTTCTCTTTCCCCTTTTTCTTGTCCTTTTCTTTGCCTTTGTCCCCCTTTTTTAGGAACTTCTTCCATACGCACGCAGCGCAGGACAGCACCATGCACAGGCTCACGATACAAAGGGCAGCGACAGCCCATGATGGCACTGCAAATCCACAAAGCACAGACATTAATCATACATAAATGTTTGACAAAATATTTAGTTCTAGTTGTTTTCTCTTAAAACAGTTTTAAGGCAAAATGAAATAAAACAAATTTCTACATTGTCTGAATTAAGAGTACATAAAGTGAACACTGGGAAATAGTGCAATGAACCCTAATGTTCCTGTATTATTTGTTGAATAGCTGATAATTCAAGTCTTTATGGAATTTTGCATTTATTGTAAATCAACTGTACAGCTCTACAGTGTTATCTATGAGGGCACAATCCATGGACATTTTAGACCATAATTTGGGGTTATGTTAATCCAGATTAAAACATATTGCAAGGTGTTATCATCTGTCATGTCGTGGTATTATCACAGCATAGTTCAAGTGCTTGTTCTGAAGTGTCGTTTCAAGGGACATCACCATCTCCAAGATTACATTTTTGTCATTTGGCATGCAATTTTAAATTTTCCAAAAAATGTGCATGCATATGGCTGTCCAAGCGGTACGCATGTATAACTCAAGTTAGTTTCTTTCATTTAAGGAACATTTCTAAATTGCAAGCTATAATCTTCTCTAAACTAGAGAAAATTGTTCATGCGTTTGTGTCATTGCGCCTGCATTAGTCTAATGCCTTATTTACTGGCTTAGATCAATCATTTCTGTCACGCCTCCAAGCAATACAAAACGCTGCAGCCAGACTCCTAATGCACTCTGGCAAGTGAGCTCACATCACCCTTGTTTTATCCTCTTTACATTGGCTCCCAGTTCATTTTAGAATTTGTTTTAAAATTCTCACACTTCCCTACAGAGCACTAAATGGAAAAGCTCCAGACTACATATCTCAAAATCTATTATTTGTCTCTCATACAAGACTGAAGAATAGGGGGGGCAGAGTCTTTCAGTCTGTGGCACCAAGGCTCTGGAACAGTTTATCTCTGTGAAATCTTTTTTTTTTAAAAAGAATACTGTTAAATTGGGCGTTCAGCTGACATTCTTCTTCTTTTTAAGTTTTTATTCTGTTTTAATGTTGTTCTCTATTGGTATTAATTGTCTCTTAATTGTTGTAGCATAATGCAACATATATCTGTAAACAGTGCTATATAAATACATTTTACTTACTTACTTAGTCTGAAGTACAACAACAAAAATATAAAAAGAATGATTTCCAACTATGATTGTCACACAAACTTGTAATGCACTACTACCAGGGAGGTTATTTTAAAATTAAATCTATATAATTAAAAAAAATGTTTATATGTAATATGTGGGAGATGTTCAAATTTCTTAATAGTGCACAAGTTTCTTAATTTCTTCATATACTTATATAGAAAAAAATGTAACTTGCTCACATTCATAATTTTTATAATTTTTTCCCCTAATTTTCCTGGTTACAAATGTTAATTCATACATTTTATCATTAAGTCATTTGTCGAACTCACTGTGGATGCTGTGAAGTTCACTCATGAACTTATTAAGACTGTGGCCTCCAGATTGTTTTTGGTCTGGTGTGGTAGTTGCATTTGGCAGATGGGTAGGGGTAGCTGAGGTGCTTGGTTCAACTCGGCCGTTCCCAGTCATTATTATTAGAAGAGTGACGACAGAAACTGGTGAGATGAAGAAAAAAGATTGCTCAGCCCTAAAAACATCACAGCACACGCAATAAAGAGAACATTATACTTCCATAAAATAGAAGACTGTTGCAAACTTTCCGTAGAACCATCCAAACAAACAATATCAACACGGATACACACAAAGGAGAGTTTCCATATTTGTTATTGATCAGATAGCAGTAATGTGCTTATAGATGCTGTACCATCAGTGAGAAATGACTTCTCTTGTTTCTGCTGGCCTGGCAAAAACACTTGAAAACAGGATGTGAAAGCTGCTCTCTCTCTCTCTCTTTCTGCCAAACTGCTGACATGGAGGTGTTTGGTGAGGTGGGAGGTTGAAGCGTCATGCGTGGACCTCTGCTGTTCCACAATGAGCTGCCAAAGGTGAAAATCATGTGCCAAGGTGATGTTTAACAAAGGCAAACAAACTAAGTGAGGGGAAGTTAATTTGCCAAAAGTTGGCTCCCAAATGCAAAACTGTTTTGGTATGTTATATTCTATTCTGCAGACATCGCGAGTATCTGAGGCTGAATCAGCAGATGGGATCACACACCCAAGCAGATACTGATCTCATTTTATGTCTGCATTTTCAGGATCATACACCAATTTTGTCTGAAAAGATACACCACTGTTACAAAGAGTTGCAGGAGCAAGCAGAATTAAAGGGATACCCAAAGGAATCAGGAGTTCTTCCAAACACTATATCTACAATATTACAGAGCTCTGACACTGGTGATATTATAGTGTATTTTAAACAGCATTGCTCAAAATACATGATAAAATGTTCAGCTGTGCATGTCCTATGACAGATTCTACAACATTTAGAAAAAAGAGCTAATTTGATGCAAGACACTTAATCAATGTGTATGACTCTATTCCAAAAGGTAATATGTAATATGTAACAATATGTATAAAAGGTGTCAAATTCACCTAAATGTTTAGACAATATACAGCCTAGCATATATAGCAACCTCCAAAGGTTTGTTCCTTCAGAGGAAGTTCCCTTTACTAGTTATGATTTTACATATTATTAAATGACCAAGACTATATCCAGTAAACAATATAATAACCTTTTTAATCTCAAAAATATTTACCATTATGTATTCATGAGTTTTCACATAGTTAATATTTAGGTTCACCACAGTTAGGACAGAAAAAGACATTTCAACTGATGAAACAACATTTAAAATTAATAGGAAATAGAGACATACCCGTATTAAAGTGTCCCAGCAGCAATATTCGGACTTGCGGGCAATTCTTTTCCTTACACAAAAATGCAGGAGGAAGATAAAAGATGACAGAACACGAGACGCAGATGAGAACGGTGAGGTAAGGACCACCACGCTGGCCGTTGTCCTTTTGTTTTTGTGTCTTAGACATAAAGAAGAACAGTGCAGGTGTGCGAGAGCTGGATCAGGAGCGAGCGCGAGAGAAAGGGTGGGGTGGGTATAGGTGAAATGGCAGCTCAGTCATCTTGTGTTGCTTCCCTCTGTGTGTGTGTGTGTGTGTGTGTGTGTGTGTGTGTGTGTGTGTGTGTATTCTGGTGAATTTGTTCTGTGCATTCAGGTCTCATGGGAGCACTGGTCCTGATTTCTGCCACCCCACCTCTTGTGACCTCTGTCCCATCCCCACAGGTCACCCTCACCAGGCCACTGATGTATATTCATTAGTGTAGTGACATGGCATTTTAACAGCTCGTTAGCATACTGAGACTTCAGCAATAGAGGACATTTACATTCAGCGTGGACGGCTCGGTATGCGTGTGCGTGTTTGCGTGCATGCGCGCATCTGTACATCTGGCAGTAGCTGCAGAACTGTCTCATACTATCTATGTATGGATGATGTTGCCTGATTTAGAAACTTAGGATGTGGTTTCTGCAGCAACACTGAGATCAGGTTCCTGCCCCGCCTCATTCACCTTGAGGACCTAGAGATACTGTACAGAAGGAGGGATGAGACAAAGGGAAAAGAGAGGGTTTGGGGGATGGGCTGGGAAACATGGAGATCAATGTAAGTTGCTGTTTGTGACAAGTAGAAAATAGTAGCAGTGTATTTTATTTGGTCACGACAAACTGTTTTGAATGTTTTTAGTGAATTTATTATAGAGAAGGCCTGCAGGCCAGAGATGTGTTGCTAATCCTGCGTTCACCTGTGAGAAATCACAATTATTGGCCTTATTTTAGTAAATAAGCTTAATTTTAGGACAAGAAGCTGTATAAACAACTTTCACCAGAGACACGTGACAACAAAATACAAATATCCAACATTTATCATATATAGATTTTATGAGTATGACCTTTGACCTTTTTCAGGTTGAAAACAATATATGTTAAGAGTATAATCATTATTTACTCAGAAATCATTAATTAATCAGTAAATGTATGATCATAACTCATTTATATTAAAAAACTCCCAATGAAACAGTATGTAACACTGAAGAGTGTAATGTTATCTCAAGTCGAACTACACGTCATGAAGGTTGGCACCATGTGACACTTCATTACATTTCTCATTTAATGTTTCATGTACTCTATTTTGGAAGTCCTGCATTTATCTAACAACATATAGGGTGGTCTGAGCCCAAGTAATCAATATAGTAAGATTTGTGTTTGGATACCATGTCTGGCACAGCATCAAAGGTTTTATAGTGCAAGACAGATGGTACCTGTGCCCTAAAGTCTTTCAGGTCAGAGTGACCTGCTAATGGTGGTGAACAAAGGAACTGGAATTTACTGACTTTTCAGAGTTGACCACCTGCAAGAGATGAGATCAAGAATGGAAATTTAGAGAGGATGTGTGTAGTAGACCACTACCTATAAAAGTAGGGGCCCCAGAAGGTCCTGTGGGCTTGCCTTTGGTTGAGCTTAACCTCAGCATGGGGCACTTTTTGTCCATTTTTCATCTATGCTCCAATTAGTATGCTCTTGACACGTCTGGTGAGGGACAGAAAAACTGACAAACGAACCAAAACTGGGGAAAAGCTAAGGAAAACAAATAACCTGTGGATGGAAACATGGGCAAGAAATGAGGAACCAGCAGACATGGGGAAACAGGCAGAAGAAATACAGAGACACACAAGGAACGACACGCAGACAGACCAGCAAGGAGCAGAAGGAAGCACACACTAAATATACACACAAGGTAAAGAGTAGACAACAGGAGGGAGACACAGCTGAACCTATTAGACATGACGAAGCAGGGAGGAAGCAAAGCAGAATACGCTGACAAAGGACAAGGACTATCAAAATAAAACATGAAGCTTGACAGAGGAAATTTAAAAAAAAAACTAGAGGTAGGACTCAGGGAACACGTAGTGACAGAGGACACCAACTCTAGACGTATAAGCTAAAACGCAGTGACTTGGGAGACATAGGCAACAGAGACTTAACACAGGCAAAGTTAAATACCAAGGGAAGAAGAAGTAAGATCACTAAGACTTAAGAAATAAAGATAACCAAACTCAGGAATACAATATTCAAACATATTAACACAGGACCTGAAACACAACCGTGGCAGCTTTCCTCCTAAACCACAGCCTTCCCTTACTGTCTTAAATAATCTATTCCTGTAATTCCTGTCATGAAGCTTTGTCTCCATGTTTTTTGCATGTTGTGGCTTAGAAAATACTCGAGTTTATTCTAATGTACTAATATAATTCTATTATTATGATATAGCAAGTTTCAGTTAGCTTTGCACAAAAATAGCGGGTAGAAATGTCATTGAAATATCTAATTTTACTGTCTTTACTATTTTGAGTATATTGCAGAGCCTGTACTTTTCACCTTTACATAAGTAAACAAGTTGAATCAGTACTTCAGAGTTTACTGGAGTATTTTTAATACTAGTATTTGTAATCTGCTGCTCAGATAAATAAAAAAACTAAAATTGACTTTCCTTTTTTACCTGACCTGTATTCTCTTTTCCACTAAATATTTCTTATTACTTGTTGTAGTGTGTACTAGAAATAAAGGCTGGGTGATGTGAGGAAAATCTATTATCACAATATTTTTTTGGCTATATCATGTCTGATCTCTCTTGTTCTCTTCTTCATCTCTAGGTTGGTGCTCCCTGCTCCGACTTTCTCCTCCTCTTTCTCACACGCTGCTGAATTTATCCTTGTGTGTCAGAGGTGGAAAGCCATAAGAATGAACAATAAATAGAACTGAAACTTTTTGGGTTGTTATTTAATTATTGAATTCTGTGAAGTGGAGGCGTAAAAAGAGCTCAGGTTATTTAATTAAGTGGTACTAGCAAACATAGGGAACATACATACATCTGCAGCCATGCAGCTGCACTGCTTTTTTAAGGTTGAGTGAGGATGGGAAGAACAGACAAAGAAACCACATGCTTAAAAATAAACAATAAATTGATCTCCCCAAAGGGATTAATAAAGTTCTATTATATACTCTACGTTAGAGACTTGTTTTAATTCAGATAAGTCCCTCTGAGAGTAAAGGCAATCTCCAGCAGGCCTGAGCTAAGGAAACAAAGTACACTAATGTAGTTATAACGTAATGAGTTGTTATAGATATATACGTAATTATACATTGTATTGAGCAGGCTACTGCCCACGCTAAACTGTGACTATCACCAGGCAATCTGGGGGTGTTTCCTAAATCACTAGCAGGCGC